TGTGAAGACAAAATCGGTTTGCATTTAAAGCATGTCACACCAAGATGTACTGTTTTTTGCACCAAATCTTTACCACCTAATGGCCAAAATTTTAAATGTGTTGCATTCAATAATCCCTGAGGGCCAACATGCAATAATCTTCTGTGCACACTAGTAAAATAAATCTTACTTAGCTTAGAATTTTTTGGGAGGATAGCAGGATATTTCTGAGAAAATGATAAAGAAGCTTTCTCAAGAAAAACAGCAACATGAATTATTCCTTTACGATCAACAAAGGGATGTAAATTTCTTAAGTTACCTGTTACGTCCTTTTTACAAAACAGAACTCTTTGCTCATGCTTAATGAGCATCTCCTCAGCTATTCTTATCTCTTCTAGTTGAAGAGATCCTATCCTTTTTATCCATCCCTGCAATTACAAATAAACCTAAAAATGTAAGAAAGAACATTAATAATTTTATAATAATTGTTACTAATATTCAAGAGTTCATCTAAAACATTAGAGTTCATTGTCAATCAACACGGTTCTCTCAGAAATGTCATTAATGTCAATAGAACTTCTGGTTTCGTGCATAAAGGACTCTTTTTCACTTGGTGTTAGGTTCTCAACCTTTGGAACTATTGGTTGTAAGCACTTGTAGGGAAGATGCGCCTCCATCAAAAATTCTGCGCAAGTCCACCAGTTGGAATTGTTCACTAGAGAAGAGGCACTAGCTCCACATGTTAGAAGATCGGCTGGATTGTCCTTGGTTGAATAATGAATCTGGATTAGTCAACTTCTGAATCTCGTCAACATGATTTTGAACGAATGACTTCCATTTTCTGCTTGATCCTTTAATCCAATACAGTGTGACTTTAGAATCTTTCCAAAAAAAGATATTAGATAATCCTTTTCAATCCAAAGCTTTTTTAACTTTCGTTCACAATCTTGCAGCAATCAGTGCACCCAGGAGTTCCAGTCGAGGCAAGGAAACTTTTTTGACAGGTGAAACTCTGCTCTTGGAAGCCAGCAAATTCACAGAAATTCTTTCTCAATTCTGTACCTTTACATAAACGGCTGCACCATACGACTTTTGGCTTGCATCAGAAGAAACATGAATCTCTATATTTTCATCATGTGAATCCAAAACAAATCTTGAAATACTAATGTTACAAAGTTCTGAAAGCTTGCTGCACCACTGAGACCACTTGTTCAAATTAGAAGGAAGCTCAGCATTCCATGGTAGTTTATGTAGCCATAGCTTTTATAGTAAAAGTTTTATTCTAACAGTGAATGGTGTGATGAGTTCCAAGAGGATCATATATTTTTCCAGCTGTTTGGAGGATGAAGCGTTTGGTACTTTTCTTTCTCCTCGAAATTTCAGTCAAACAAAAAGTCTCTATACTCAAACTATCTTCCTGAATTTTCCATTGAGTTCCCAATACTTTGAGTATCTTTTCATTTGAGCTTAGCAGATGAATGTCAAAATTTTCTTCTTCCCATTCTCCAACTAAATGATGATTATTCGTCACCCATTTGTGTGGATTCATCCCAGCTCCACTCATAATTTTCTTTGCTTCCCTTGAAATTTTTAAGCCTTCTGATACATCATCTGCTCCTGTAACAAGATCATCAACATACATACGTGTATCAAGAATTTGAAAGGTTATTGGAATACACGTTTCTATGCTTTTGGATATGCAGTTTATAGCTATGGCTAACAAAAAGGGACTGGAATTAACACCAAAGAATCTATACACCTCTAGCTGATCTTTGGTATTCTGCAAAGGTGTATCAATATTCTTAGCAAATAAAAATCTAACTGCATCTCGATCTTTCTCAGCTAACACAATCTGTAAAAATGCCTTTTCGATATCTCCTAAGATTGCCACTCTATTAAATGTAAAATATGTCAGCAAGTGGAATATATTTTGATTCAAATTGATACCTTAATACCAGGCCACAAACAATCATTTAGGGATAGACTACCTATTTCTTGTGAGCTCGCATCAAATACAATATGCATTTTTGTCGTAATGCTTTCCTCTCTATAAACTGCCTGATGCGGCATATAAAAATTGGCTTGTTTACTAGTTTCGTAGAATGAAATACTCTTTCTATTATCCCTTGATTTAGGTATTCTTCTAAAGTTTCTCTGTATTTTAGGTATAATGCATTATCATGCTGCATTTTCCTCATCAGGATCTTTATTCTTTTTTCTGCGCTACCAAAATTGTCGCCTAAATGCTCTCAACTTTTCTTCCAGGGTAGGCTAACAACATATCGACCACCTTTGAAACTAACTGTTTTATTGAATATCTCTAATGCTTTATCTTCATCGTACGAGTTGCAATGCTGAGTTCTATAACACTAAATTTGTATTGGGTATAAAAATTTGCCCTAATCTTATCAAATTAAGAAATATTTCAGATCCAAGAAGTAACTGAATTTTACCCGGTTTGTGAAAATATGGATCAGCTAACGTAACTCCTTGTGGAATCACAATATTACAGACATCAATTTGTCTAGAAGGCATCAAATGAGTAATTTTTGGAATTACAAAAAGTTCTAGTTTACGATTGTACATGTTTTCTCTGTTTAAAATAACCACACTCACTTTCAATTTCACCGTTGTTAAAATTCTAGATAAACAACCTACTAATAAGTTTACATTTTCTTTTTGCAAATGAAGCTTTTCAGCTAATTCCAATGAACAAAGATGAATCATACTTCCACTGTCAAGCAAAGTTCTGGCTGGAAGTATTTCTCCTTCATTTCCCTTAATATAAACAATCGCTGTCTATTTTAGGACTCTATTAACTCCATTACAATTTTTATTTACATTAGCTCATAAAACACTCATTATCCTTATTTATGAATGGCTCTGCGGGAACATTGAGTTCCTTATTTATGAATGGCTTTGCGTGAGAGTTTCGTTGCTTCCGTAGCCTGACTAGCGTCTGACTTTTGATCCGGTGACGCGGTTTCGCAACTGTTTCTATTTTGGGGAATTAAAACTTTTTCTCGCTCATAAAACAGTAATGAATTGTGCTTTTTCTGCATTGCCAACAAGAGTAATTTGAAGGGCAATTTCTCACTCCATGGTTTCCAAAGAAGCAGAAACATAAATTGTGCTTTTTAACATAATGAACTCTATCTTTTAAGCTGAATTTTTGAAATTTAGGACATTTAAATAATTTATGTTCCACATTACACAGTTTACAAATAAATGCACATTTCTCAGTCGTACATAAAACCATTGAAGAAACCTTTGACTCACTTTGTTTAGACATTACTGGAATTCTAGAAGCGTTTAATGTCCTTGCGTGATCCTTTAGAAATTCTAATAACTGATGTTCGGTATTTTTTCTTTCTTTAAATTCCTCTCCCACCATAACTTAGTATTCTGATCAAGTTTCTCACTAAGAATAAAGGCAAATATAGCGGATGAAACCCTATCTAACTTTTGTTCTAAACATTCTAATGATCTTACAACTTCACTTGTAACATCAATTAAATTTAGAATTGCAGAAGCTGACTCATTTTGAATAACGGGAATACTCATAAATCTTTTAAGTTGAGCATACACTTGTTCTCTAGGGTTTGAGTATCTTTCTTCAAGGAGAGACCATGCTAACTTATAATTATTATCCGTTATAGCTATCATTTGGATTATTCTAATGGCATCTCCTTTCAATGCTGCTTTCAAATATTGCAATTTTACAGCATCTGATAAATTTGGGTTTTGATCAATACTCACTTTAAAAATATCCTTAAAGGAAAGCCAAGTATGCATTTCTCCTGAAAATATCGGTAAGGAAATCTTAGGTAAACGCACAATAGTGTTTTCAAACATTACTGTATTTTCTACTTTATTCTCTTTAACAACTTTCGACAATCTATTATTTATTTCAAATTCTATATCAATAACACTACTATTATTCATTTCATTTGGCTCACTGAAGATTTTTTCGATATTTTCTTCACTACTTAAATTAATAATGGAATGAAAAATATTATCAAATTCATTTTGCAAATTGTTAAATTTAGTTTTTAACAATTCTAAATCACTAATACTTAAATCTGGCTCACAAAGTTTCTTTTGCAACTTCAATAAGATAGTTTTCTGAGTTCTCTTTATAGTAAGAACATCTTTTAATTTCGTAGCCATTTTCGCTACACTTATCAATAATAACAAATTATCACACAAACTTAATTCAGAATTTTCTAAATGCAACAGTTAATAATGAATAGTTTTAAGGGTGGTTTACTGACCCCTTTCTTTCAGCAACTGGCCATAATCCACAAACACAAATTCTTCAGGAACAAAATGTCAAAATCACAGTTTTACACTAGATTATTTACTTAGCCGATATCACTCCGGCTCTACAGGACCACTCAAGATGGTCTGGCTAAATTCTAAATGGACTGTAACTCTTAATTAAAATAATTAACAAACTAAACTGTAATAAATAATCATTTTTATTTTACTAATTTTCACAGTCACTCTCTGCTTCGCCATTGAAGCAAACTCCAAAAAGTAGTAAACAGTAACGATGGCAGCGCCATCTGGCTTCAAAGAGATTTAACAGTTTGTATTCACTTATAATTAAACCGAACCATCCTAACCTTTTTCCTTAATTTTGAGCTTGAGAATATAAACCTCAATTATAATTTTTTAGTTAATTATAAACCAGTCTTTTTAAACCTGCTTAGCTAATGTTTCATTTTCTTCATAATGTATCAGAATTATCCTGCATAAATTTTAAAAATAAAAAGTTTTAAAAAGTAAATGCAGAAGGAAGAATTTCCATTTTATAATCTGGTTTAATAAAAATTAAGCAATGAATACCTCTAGATTTTTTTTTTGTACGTGCATAGATATAGATAAATGTAATAAGCAAGAAGGTAGTATGTTAATATCCATGCAAAATGCATTTTTTTTTTTTTTTTTTTTTTTTTTCTAAATGGAAAAAAATAGCTCCCCCATTATTTATTTTATAAATATGTTGTGTGTTTCAGATATCTCAGTTTTTGCCTCTTCTCAGAAATCAAGTAAAGATCCTGATGATAATGCTAGAAGTAAATATGTAAAATTATATTTTTAATTTATAAAACTTTTGTGATAAAGTTACGACTTGTCGTGAGTCATTTCATCAATTAGGTATGGTGCATTTCTGCTTTGTGTATGAGAGTTTAAAACACATGTCACAAAATACCGTGTTCCAGTTCTCCAATAAGAATCAAGTGCTGCTGCAGGTCATCTGGCATATATTAGCCAATGAGCACAAAGCAAAATCAGGGTTGTTTATGTGGTTTTTCTTGCCTTTTTCCTGGTTGTTTATTTTGTTTGAGTCGCGTAAGTTTCACATGCTTTCCAGAAATAGTTTAGGAAACTCCGATCGTTTTTCTTAGTCATGTCTGCGAAAAATATAAAATACTCTTATACTTTTAAAAAAGTCTTACACAGATGACTTTCCTTCTACTATTTCATCAAGGAAATGTAACATTAGAATACCGTTTGTCATTGCAATTTTTCGATTTCGCACTGTGAAAAATCTGATGTTCTTAAACTTGGGCATACACAAGGACAACATGAGTTGTATTGGGGAAAAAATAAATTTTTTTATGGAAACAAAAGACCAAAAAGTTATTAATTCTGAATGCCTGTTCTCTACCTTTTTACTGGAGCATAACCTGCCACTGAATGCATCAGATCGTGCTGTAGCTTTTTTAGAAAAGTGTTTCCCAGCAGTAAAACCACTAAAAAATACTATAGTGCAGGGGTTCTCAACCGGTGGTACGCAAGAGAAAAATAGGTGGTACGTAAAGAAGCAAAGTATTTTAACTATTAAATTCAAAAATTAAAACTCCTACATCCTGATTTAGTTTTTTCTCTAACACTCTTAAATTTATGTGATCTGAGCTTTGTTCAAGAGTGGTGGTGGTAGTAGCATTTTGTAGTGGCAGTACTAAAGGTTTTCAATTTTTGTTTAGATGGTACACGTTAGTCAAAAGGTTGAGAACTGCTGCTTTAGTGCAAGGACAAAAACAGCTGCAATTGTAGAAGAAAGGGATTCAAGGAATTAGTATGAAAAACAAATTCTCAGTTATTAATTGCGTTAAAGCAGTTCCATTCTGCCTGTCTATGGATGGAAGCAATAATACCAATGCAAAATTGTATCCAGTTGGTTTTTTTTTTTTTTTTTTTTTTTTTTTTTTTTTTTAATTCTAATTCTAGAGTCTTCAGAAATTGATTATAGTTTACTTTCTGTTCCCACTTTAGATGGAGATTTGATAGGCTTTACTATATATATGAAATAATATGATATTTAAATATATTTAATTCATTATGATTTAAATATATTAAAAATTGCATTCTAACATTTTAAAGACTTTTTTATGAAATTAATATATATATATATAAGGAATTAAAATATTAAAAGTTCATGCAAATATTTCTCTTCACTTTTTAAATAAAAGCAATACTTGCTACTTCATAATACTTTTGTTTAAAATTAAATTTTAGTTTAAAACTTTTTGCAGTTTTAAAAGTTTCAACATTTATTTCTGCATTCTTTTTTAGTATGAAATGATATTAGCAGAAAACTATCAAAATATTTTTTAAAAAATGTTATTCTTTACAACAAAACTGAAAAAAAGAGATATGTAAAGTATATATAAAAGGTGCATTTTGTATGTTACTGTAAAGTTTTATCATATCATTAGATTTTATGTTTCATACAAGTGACAACATACATGAAAAATAGAGTTAGAAATTTCAAGCAGAGTGCTTGTCTATTTATGACAAACAGACTTCATTATAAACTGTTAACAATACCTCTTTGAGGTGTCAAAAATTGTAATTTCTGAGTCTTTCTCGGACAACTTACACACAGTATTTGATGTTTAAAAAACAAAATATTATGAGTTGTTTAGTCTTTTCTAAATTGTTTACAAAAAATTAGTAAAATAAATGTTAAAAAGTGGTAAAACGTTTCAGCTAATACACTATCCAGCATTGAAAATGCAACAACAAGAAAGTATGGCCTGAAAATTATGCAAATTTCAAGGTAGACACACATCACCGAGTTATGTGAAATATATAGCTCTCCAGTGCACTTTGAAGAAGATGTAAGGGAAGGAACCTACAGAATGTTCTATTTCTGTACCATTATTTCTGCAAGGGTAATCATCGTAGAAAAAAATTTTTCTTTTGTCTCAGAGGATGCGTGTAATAGCAGAGAATGTCAGGTCGTGGTCAACAGAGGCAGTTACAGAGGACAGACAATTTTATGAGGGGCATGGTGATCAGACTGAGAAGGGCAGGTTGATCCATACAACAAATCTCAGCTGATAGACACCTGGACATTTCCACAGTGCATCGACTGTGGCGATGATAGTTGGAACAAGGAACTGTGGCAAGTTCAAGGGGTACTGGCACAGGCAGATTGGCATCAGCACATGTGGATCGACACATCCGCCAACAAGTGGTGGTGCACCCGCAAATCACTTCTACTTCCTTTCTTCAGCATGTTCAAAACACCCTGGATGTTCCCATACTGACCAGAACCATTTGCCATCAATTGATGGCTAGTGGCCTGCACTCGTGGCTTCCATTAAGAAGAGTGCCATTGACCCCACGCATAGATGCCAACGTCTGCAATGGTACCAGGCTCAAGCAATGTGGACAACGGAATTGCACAGGGTCATGTTCTCAGATGAAGACGCTTCTGTTTCTCCAATGATAGTTGTCACGTACAAGTGTGACATTTATGTGCCACACTTGTACGATTACTTTACACAATTACTGTGCATTATACAGCAATTGTGTAACACGACAGTGCGGCATCAGGGTTTGGGATGCAATTGCATAAAATTCCATATCACCTCTAGTTCATATTCAGAGCACTATGACGGCCTAACAATATATGGAAGATTTGCTGTGGCGGATGACACTCTCCAAACCTTCAGGGAGTGCCCAATGCCCTTTATCAGCAGCATAACACCCAACCACACACTGCTCGCATCAGCCAACGTGCTCTGCAATGTTTCCCTTTCCACTATTCTCTCCTGATCTTTCACCAATCAAACACATTTGGCATGTGATTGGATGCCATTTGCAGACTCTGCCATTGCCATGCTCAGAAGGCGGACTGTGGCAGATGGTTGATAGGGAATGGAGAGTCATTCCTCAAGACACCATTCATAATCTTATTGATTCTGTACCTAGATGTGTTGCTTCATGTAATGGCCATTCAAGGTGGTCCTAGACCCTACTGAGCCAACTCTCGATCTGTATTATGCAAATCATTTCGAAATAAAAATAACTTATTGTTCCTTGCTATCTCTCTTTGCTTGCTGAATTTCATCACTTTCTGGCCACTCCTTCTTGGTGTTGCATTTTCAATGTCAAGTAGTGTTTTAAAGTAACAATATAAACCAATTATTATATCAATAGAAGATTTTTAAGTTTTTTTTGGGGGGGTAACTAAAAGATCAGTTGATTGTAATTTGTTTACCAATTTACTCAATCTAAAATAATAATAAACATGTGAATTTAATGTTTACACATTTTTAGAATGATTTCAAGGCCATTTATTTAAAGTTTAAAATGGAAAGAATATTTTTTTAAACATTTGGTCTGAAACCTTTTTTCTCGACTATGAGTCAGCATTGTGATTTCGATGCTAGAAGGACTCTTCATGAAATTTTCTGGAATATTGATTTCCATTGTTCTTCCACTACATTTCAGAGTCCATCAGTTCGGGTGCATTTGCACTTAAAAACAGCTCTTTTCATGAGACCAAAGATATAGATGAAATGTCAGGAGACTTTGCAGGAATATGTTAAAAAGGAATATCTGCTGTCAGTCTTCATTTCTTTTCAAGGAATGCAGTGGTACATTTCAAAATATGATTTGTTGCTTTGTCTTGAAGTTTCACTCTTTGTAAGTTACGGGGATAAAGAGTTGAAATTCTTCTCTAAATATTAGACATAGAACTTACTCATAATAGTACATTGAGTTGATTTTAACACTTTTTCCACTTTTCTTAATTTCCCATTCTAAGAGAATTCTGCAGTCATAAACCCGCTTACTGAAACTTTCTTTGCATTAATAGAATCAGGTTTGTCCGATTAATAATGTTGCTTATTTTACACTTAGAAATTTTAATACCATGCATTTCAAAACAATTTTGAGTTATTGAATAGGAATATTTCTCTTCAGAAAGCAAAAAACAGATCCTTCAATCCACAACTTGTTTATATGGCAACATTTTAAAAGAAGAATAAATTTTAAAATAGCTGCCTATTTCTTATTCCAAATGATAAGTTTTTGATAGAAATGTTTATTTCAAAACATCTGTGTTTTAAAATGTAAATTTAATTGTTTTTAAATGTAAATTTAATTTTTTTAAAGTTAATCTTTATGGCTATTTAAATGCTTGCGCAAAAGTCTTAATATAATACTGAGTAAATGTAGTAGTATTATTCATTTTAAATATTTTTATATTTTCTAGATGCAGAAACAAATCAAGAAGATACATCATCATTGACACATACAAGTGATATTGCTAGGCTTGCAGGTGATGATAAAGTAAATGAAGGTAAGATTAATATTTTGAAATTTTAAGATAAATATTTATTTTCCGGATAGCTAAATACTAATTAATTTCATAATTAGTAATACTTAATTAAATTCATCTCCACATCTGAAACAGATAATTACTGTGAATTAATATTTAAAGTTCTATTTTAATTATTAATTAGTGCATGTGTAGAGTGCAAGTGCATTTTAATACACAAAACTTTTTCTATAATTAAAGGAAAATTCTATTTCAGATATAAACAACCTATTCAAATTATTCTATAAATTTATTTATTTGCAGATGTTGAAGTTTTAAACAGGTCTTTATCTTTGAAAGTTGCAGATGTACCTCAAGCAGAAACAACAGGTAAAAAAAGTGCTAATGAAAAACTCATGAAATTTGGGTTGTGTGTTTGTATTTATGAATTTTATAGAGTTAATATTAAAAGATGATGATGCACTGTGCAAAAAAAAAAGGGGGGGACAGTTCTATATTTCTTGTTCTACTGTGCCGATTAATGAAATTCAACTTGCATTTTTCATGTCTCAAAAGCGCAAGTTGGATATGTATTTGATTTATATATAGCGTTGTTCTAATATGGGTATTTTGACACAAAATCGGACTTTTTCTGAAATAACATACCATTTTTTTTCCATATTTCAATTCTACGACTCAAATTATGCCAAACTACCAAGCTTTGTAAAAATCGCATGAGTAGATTTTAAAAAATTAGCTCTCAAAATTTTAGCTCCTCAATGTTAATTGAGTTTGGTATATATTTATTAATCTCTCTTTTTTTAATTAAACTCATTTGATTCTTCCTTTCACATTTCAAAATTTAGGTTCATTCCAAATAAAATTCGCCTATTTTTTTAGATTTATTTTTAAAATTTATATTTTAAATAAATTTTATAAATTTTTCAAAAAAAATTTGTATTATAATGTATAAAATTTTTACAATCATCTTAAAGTAGACTTATTTCTAAGCATATCTGCAAAAAATGACAGTTTTTTTATTCAAAATTTCTGAAGATATATGTGAGTTTATATATTGGTGCATTTTGAAATTTGGCATATTTGTTAAAAGCGATAAAACATGAAATGTGGTTTAGACATTTTGCTAAAATTATTTGGAAGTAGAAACAAGGTGACTTTTTTCCCAGTCATGCACAATGTAAAAAGGTAGGAAGGAACAAGGTGACTTTTTTCCCACTCCAGCATAATAGAAGGGAAAAGAAAATTTGTTGCCACATATTAAGAAGTTCGCCAAGTGAATTATTTGTGGCACAAACTAAAAAAATTGCGCCAAAGTAAATTTTTGAATTTCTCTGTAAATTTTACAAAATTTAATATCTAGGCATAATTTGAGTCATAGAATCGAAATATGGGAAAAAAAAATTGTATGTTATTTCAGGAAATGACTGATTTTGTATCAAAATACCTATGTTAGAACAATGCTATATGTAAATCTAATGTATATCCTAAGTCGTGTGTTCATGGAATGCATGCGTTGTTATACAATTCCAAATTAACTAGATGTGGACTGTACTAATTAATATATTATTTTAAAACCTTAATCACATGCATGCCATCTTTCAAGCGATGATCATCTTAAAGTAAAAAACAGCAATAAAAAACTGAGCGAGCATTTACAGGGTTGCTGTAATGAACATCTGCATCATACAAGGTGCCAAGAAGAGAAAAAAATGACATAATCTTACAGTTAAATAGTCCTAATGACTAAACATACCTCCCCCAGCATTGAAGGGTTACTTCAATGATTTTGTGCTATAATACTCATAATAACATACAAAATTGTATAGTTAAAACCTTATACAATAAAGCAATACGAAAAACATATCAATTCAATACAATAATATTCAATTTTCAATACAAAATTTTATACACGAGTTACAATACAAGCTTAATAATACATAAGGTTTTATAATAATAAGCTAACGCTTAACTAAATTAAGTAGCTTCTTCCTGGGGTAAAATTGCAATTTTTGTAATTCCACGCTTAATGATGCCTTTTGCTGTATGTATTTCTACTACTCTAACCTTACTGTCAACTCCAGGAAAAAGTCTTGCAATGCACCCTAACACCCATCTACTGACAGGAAACTCATCCTCCTTAACTAGTACTAGCATACCTATTTTAATATTCGTTTGTTCTACCTTCCATTTTGAACGCTGTTGTAGTGTGTTTAAATAGTCCCTATGCCAACGATTCCATATCAACTGGACAAATCTGGTAGTTCGTTTCCATCTTGAGAGTCTGTTTTCAGGTATATCAATTAATTCGGGTTCTACTATAGCATTCAAGGGTCTTCCAATGAGAAAATGACCTGGTGTTAATGCCTCTAAATCATTTACATCGGAAGATAAGGGAGTAATAGGGCGAGAATTTAAAACAGACTCTATCTGAGTTACTACAGTTAATAACTCCTCGAAAGTCAACCTTGCATTACCTACAATCCGCTTTAAGTGATATTTCACGGATTTTATTCCAGATTCCCATAGTCCACCAAAATTAGGTGTCCGTGGGGGAATAAACTTCCATACTATTCCTTCTTCACCTAAATAATCTGCTAATTTTTTGTCAGGATTTCTAATTAAATTGTTAATTCTTTGCAATTCGGCATTTGCGCCAACGAAGTTTTTTGCGTTGTCTGAGAAAATGATTGAGCATTTTCCGCGCCTAGCAATAAATCTCTTTAAGGTGGCAATAAATGCGTCAGTGGTGAGATCACTCACTAGTTCGAGATGCACTGCCTTTGTTATAAGGCAAATGAAAAGAGCTAAATATACCTTATGAAGAGTTCCTTTCCTCTGTCCCTTGTACCTAATAAAAAATGGACCGCAAAAATCGGTGCCGACATGATTAAAGGGTGAGCTTGGATTTACGCGCTCTGCAGGTAATGACCCCATAATTTGTTCGATAGTGACTGGTTTATTTTTACTACAAATTATACATTCATGGGTAATCTTTCTAGTTAAATTCCTACCTTGTAATGGCCAAAATTTCTGTCTCATAAAACACAATAATGCTTGCGAACCTACGTGTAAATATTTCCGATGATAATGCTCAGCAATCAGCTTAGTTAGTTTGCATTTAACAGGCAAAATTATTTGATGTTTTTGTGAAAACATTACATTGGCCCCTTGTAATCGGCCTCCTACTCTCATTACATTATTTGCATCCAAAAAAGGGTTCAAAGAAAGTAAATTACTTTTATTATTAATGGGTTTACCTTGTGCGAGGGAGTTGTAATTCTGAATAAAAACTACATTTTTGAACCTCTCTTACTAAAAAGGATTCTGCCTCATTTAACTCCTTTGAACTTACCCCCTCCTGTTCTTCTCTGTGCTACTTTTTGTTTTGCATACCTAGAGTTCCAAATGAACCTGAAAAAATCACTAATAATACGTAATAATTTTAAGTAATTGTTAGTGATATCTAGGACATTATCAATCAATTTTGAAGGCGAAGTGCATAAACAAGCAATGTCAGTTCTTTTTCTCAGTTCATTAGAAAATATCTCTTTTTTTCCTAATTGTTCAAAGTCAATGTTCTTGTTAGGTATGACACCTTCACTCAAGAATGGAGGACCTTTCCACCACAGATCAGCATCATGCAGCTTGTCAAAATTCAGTCCTCGGGAAATAAGGTCTGCTGGGTTCTCCTCTGAACGCACATAATTCCACTGGCATGTCTGTGTTAGCTCTTGGATCTGCAACACTCGATTAGCAACAAAAGTTTTTAGTACATGCGGAGGATTCTGAAGCCATGCTAACACTATGGTTGAGTCACACCACAGACATATTTTACTGATGTCCAATTTCAATAAAGGCACCACCTTTGCAACAAGCTGTGCTAGCAGTACAGCTGCGCAGAGTTCCAGTCGAGGTACTGTCAGCGGTTTTAGTGGAGCTACTCTGGACTTGCTGCAAAGCAAATGTGAAGATAAATTATTGTCACTTCTACAGCGTAAATAGATGGCTACTCCGTATGCGTGTTCTGATGCATCTGAAAATCCATGAATTTGTATATCAGAAAAACTATCCTGTAAAACATATCTACTGACTTTCAAATTGTTGATAGATTGCATTGAATCAATAAAAAGTTGCCAATCCTTAATTATCCTTTCGGGTAGCGGATCGTTCCAATCAAGCTTCAATAACCAAAGTCTTTGGATGAAGATTTTTGCTTTTGTTATCCCTGGACCAAGCAGTCCTAATGGATCATAAATGCGAGCAATATCAGACAACACTGTTCTCTTTGTGTAAGTAGTTGGTTTCTTGATGGTTGATTTGTACGAAAAACAATCTATCTTTGGATTCCATAATAATCCTAAAGTTTTGATGCTCTGATCGTCATCGAAATTACTGAAAGAATATTCCTCTTGTCCATCCGGAAACTGCAAAAGATCAGGATGATTAGCACACCATCTGTGCAGACGCATTCCTCCACGTGATAATAGGTTAATCAATTGCGACTGTAATTCTTTAGCCTCTATTAGAGTATGGGCTCCTGTGAGTACGTCATCGACATAAAAATCCCTTTGTACTATTGGCGCTGCTAACGAAAAATTGTTTTTCTCGTCTTCTGCTAATTGATTAAGTGTGCGTGTTGCTAGATATGGTGCGTTGGAAGTACCGTAAGTTATAGTCTTCAGTCTATAGACCTTAACTGGTTCTTCTTCACTACTCTTCCATAAGATGCGTAATAAATCTCTTTGATGTTCTTTAATCAAAATCTGACGATACATTTTTACAATGTCTGCTGTGAAGGCAATTTTATGCGTTCGAAATCTGCAAATAATATCAAATAGTTCGTCTTGAACTAACCCTCCATTCAGCAGAATATCGTTTAACGAAATTCCAGTAGTCGTAGGAGCAGTGGCATCGAAACACTACCCTAAGTTTAGTGCTAGGTTCTTTGATGGGAGCCTAATTGAAATCTTTCTTAGCGTTTTAAGCAGTCTTTTGCTAGCTTTTGATTCCTAAAAGGCTAAGTCCTTCCTCCTTAATTGGCATTTCCACTACATATCTGCCATCATCTTGCCTCGTGTGTGTACGAAGAAAGTGCTGTTCACAAAATTCCTCTTCCTGACTTTTCACTTTTTTTGCTTCATTAATACCTTCAATCTCCCAAAACCTTCTCATGTTGTCAGATAAATTATCCCCATTTTCCACAAACCCACAAAAATTATCAACACTGCCTTGCTGCGGCATGCGTACTGACCCGCTAACGATGTATCCAAAAACTGACTGATGGAGAATCAGGTCTTGCATATTTATTCTATTTGTTCCCAGTAAATCAAAAAATATTTCGTTAGATAATAAAACATGTATTTGACCAG